GGCTCTTTGGCCCCTTGAGTGTGGCTCTTCCACAAAATACCACGTGCTGGTACACGTACAGTGCGATTGAAACTTCGTGGCCCATGCGCAGAAGTCGGTTTTCGGCCTGGGTGAGTCTATTTTGAAGAAGTACTGTTGATATTTGGCTCTGTTGACTAATGAGTTTGCCGACCACTGTTCTAGGGGATAGTGTTAGCACAGGTAGAGAATTAGGTAGAGGGAGGAGTCACTGTTCTCAAAACTCTCCAAAAACTTTCCATCTCATTCAGAGTGTATCCAAATTCCTTGCAGGGCCTGCAGAGCCAGTCCTCCATGGCCTTACCTCATTGACATTATGTATCCCTCCCCTTTCTCCTGTCCCTCCCCTCTACGCGTGTCCCTCCCATAGGGCTCTTGCCCTTGTTCTCCCTTGAATGGGAATACTTAGCTCTACTGTACCATGTAGCTCCTTCCCACCCCACTTTTTAGATCTTTGTTTGTCTTTGGGAAGTCTTCTCTGACATCCTAGGATACCAGTAAATTGCAGTGTTCCTCTCCCAACACACTATAGGGGCCCTCAAGAAGTAGAATGAAGAAAACCTTTCCACATTTAAGGAGTCTGTTACCCCTTTCCAATTCAAAGAGTTAGACATTCTACAATTTGTACAACGAGTTTGTGGATAATCTATTTTTCCCTATAAGATCAGAATCAAAATCCAGAGTCTATGACTTGTCGCAGGTTTGTGGTTTGTCCTCAACTTTAGCTGTTACTCTGGTTTTCTGAGTTTTAGCATCTCATTCCGTGCAGTTTGTGAACCTTCATTTTTAGTTGAAGCTATCCATTCCATGCTTTACTTTTCTTCTTAACATTTTGATACAGCACTTACATATTTTACCTATTTATTTCTTGCCTATTAAGAGAAACAGACAGTTGTCTTCACTAAAATGTGAGCTATTTTTTTATTGATTTATTTAAGAGAGACAGAGAGATTTATTCCATTTATTTATGAATTAATTGATTGATTCCTGTATGGACCCTGACTGGGGATCAAACCTGAAACCTTAGACCAGGGGTCCTCAAACTACGGCCCGTGGGCCACATGCAAATACAAATATTGTATTTGTTCCCGTTTTGTTTTTTTACTTCAAAATAAGATATGTGCAGTGTGCATAGGAATTTGTTCATAGGTTTTTTTTAAACTATAGTCCGGCCCTCCAACGGTCTGAGGGACAGTGAACTGGCCCCCTGTTTAAAAAGTTTGAGGACCCCTGCCTTAGAGTATCAGGACTACCCTCTAACCAACTGAGCTACCCGGCCAGGGCAAATGTGAGCTATATTTCTTTCTCATGGCTATAGCCGGGGCGTAGAATGCTGCCTAGCCCATAATAGATAATCAGTAACTTAATCACGGGGTAAATGGATGCATAACTGTGCAATCCCAGCTTTCAAGATCCCTGGCTGTGGTTCCACATCCAATTGGATCTTTGGCTGTTGACTTCTGTACTGGCGCATCTGTTGCTGAATTGTGGGGTCTTTGGCCTGAGCAATCTGTGCCAGCTTTGTTCTGCCAGACCTTTTGGGTCTATCAACTTCTTTGACACTTTCTTATTCAACCACCCCAACCTCTTCTGGGAATCATGGGAACTTCCTTCTGAAACTCCTCCTCCTTGTGAATGAGAAACTTTGAGACTAGTCTCTCAAGCCTTCTCTCTGCCTAAACACAGTCAAAATGGCAAGTTATGTTCTCTGCCTGCCCCAGGATGGTGCAAGGCAATCACTGCAGCTGATTCCTCTCGGAGTTCAAGTGGCATATGCTCCTCTGTCCGTGATCCTGAAAACTATGTGGTGGGTCTCTGGTGCCTCATTTCCTTCCTGATGCCCCACATGTAGCCTCTGTTTCTCATTATTATGCTTCAGATGGTAACCAGAACTAGATTATTCTGTTTAGAAGAAAATGAAGGAATTATTTTTGTTGTTGTGTTTTCAAGATTGGAAAAAGCATCTTCAGACATACTCTGTAAGCTTCTTATCGGGGTCCATCCAATACAAGAGGTCACACCATCAAACACTTGCTTCTCAATGCCTTCCCCACTATAAGTGTTTATGTTTGCAGAGCAGCATTTAAAGCTAAGCCTTACAAGCCAAATAATTTGCTATGATAAACTTAATTTTCAACACTGGCTTCCTGTGGGTCAATTTATTTATAAAGTGAGACTTCAGAATTTAATTCAAATTATTGGCATTAAATCCTTATTTTTATATTAAGTACCTTACCTTTCAAGAATTAATTTGGCATTTATTTTCTGTTATAACAAAATATTTAATTCTTTGGGATAATCTCCATGTTGAACTAACTTTAATGCTTATTCCCAGAAAATCAAGATTTTCTCCATTTTTATCTTGAAATTTTACTTTCTTTATCTTTTACTATTAAGAGATTTTTAAAGGGTGCACATTTGATATATTTTGGGGGGTCTTATATATCTGACAATGTCTTTATGCCACCTTCACACAAGAAAGACCACTTGATTGGGCATAAAATTGGTGAATTCTAAATCATTCCCTTCAAAACTGTAGACATTGCTGCTTCTAGTTCAAAGGGATGATTTTTGCTTCCTCTTGATGGGTAACATTTTTTCCACACAGTCCTCGTTTTAATTTTCTCTACTTATTCTTATAAGAAATATGATCTAGCCATATTTCTTCAAAAGTCAGTGTGTATGGATTCTCTATTGTCTTGGGAGATTGTTGACTCTCATTCGTGGTTGTATAATTAGAAGGCAGTTTCTAGTAGATATTTACATGATGCAACTCACCTCTGCAGAGATAGCACCTTCTCCTACCCCCATCATCTGATAGCTGTCACTGCAAACTCATGGAATATATGAAAGCCCACCAGCAGACACTACTGCCAAAGACAATGGTGTCTTCCTCGGCCTGCATTTCTTCACACAACTCACAGGGTATTGTGTGTTCCTGCCAGTTACCTCCTCACCACTTCCTGCACAGTTCCTGGCCTACCCTCCCAATCACCAATTGCTCTCTCTGATTTAACAGAGAAAGATGGCCAGTGGGGAATAGGAGAAGTGGAGGGTAACGGTGGAAGAGTATCTCCAGACCTCAGTGTTCTGGTTTACTCAGAAAATCTAGTTTTCATCTTGCTGGGACACTGATTGTCTTCTGGGAGCAGTTGGAGAGAGAGGATTAACCTGAGGTTTTAAATATATATAATTGATTTGATAGAGGGAGAGAGAGATAGAAACATCAATGATGAGAGAGAATCACTCATTGGCTGCCTCCTGCACACCCCCAGCTAGGGATCAAGCCCACAACCCTAGCATGTGCACTGGTGGGGAATCAGACTGTGACCTCCCAGTCACGCATTGAGCCACGCAGGTCTGGCCGTAATTTTTTTTTCAAGTATTTCTGTTATAAGAAGCTTTGCCTTGTTTGGGTAAAGAAACAAGCAAAATTAATGGAACTTCTTTACCCCTTTAGCCTTACAACTTTCATTTCTAAATTTTTAAACAAGTTAGACTAGAATCTGACCAATGGTTATTCTCATTTACCTCCAGCTTAATTTTAGGAAAACATTGAAAACATAGATAATTACAATGAAGAGATCATGAAACAGCAAAGTGCTCATTTATTTTTAGCAAAAGAAAGAAATTTTTTATCTGTTGTGTATTTGAAACTTTCAGTATAATTTGAGAGTTCACCTCCTTATGCACATAACTTGTTTTATAGTTGAGACTTTTCAAGGTTCCATTCAGCTCCAAAGACTACTGCCATTAACCATGTCTCTGGCCCTTGGGAGCAGTCAGTGGAATGGAATTTCAGTACAGGGAAGCCCTGCCCAGGCTAAGGGCTGCACGAGATCTCACCTTGCCTTCATACCCTCAGGTCTTCAGATCTGCTGAGAGGGAGATGGCTTCCTGATTGGTGATCACTCATCCCATCCTGAGACAAAGCGTCAAGGGCAACAGGACTCCAGTTGCTGTGTGCACTTCCTGAGCAGGAAGCTATGGCTCCCTTATCCCTAGGGCAGAGTGAGTGCTTTTCACATCATATTTCACTGAATCACAGTTTTCTGAGAATGTCCTAACAGTTTCAAAATGACATTTTTATGTGGCTTAATGTTTCTAATTTGCTACAACTTACATCTCTACTTGCCTAAACCAAGGACCAGATGGAATACATTCTGGTCAGGCATCCAGACAGTTACTATTTAGGGGATAATGTAGCCATTTTAAAATTTTCACAAGAGAGTGAGAGTCTGATTTTAGTACTCTCTACTCACAGGATATAATTTATGCCAAGATAAATTTTAGCCCTCCATATTACCTTTCAGTCGGAAACATTTTATCTTGGTTTTAGGTATCCATTTGGTTTTCTTATATTTTCTGGTAGCAGTTTGCTAACATTTAAAACGAGATATAAATATTTGGCAAAGCATATAAACAACTTCCTTGATCTGTTGCAAAAAAATATTGAATTTATGTTTCACAACAGAAATACAGTTAATGGAAATTATATTTTTGAGATATAAGAAGGATTATATATTGGGACTAGAAAGAACTGTACAATCAAGTACTTGAAAACGTTTCTGCTTAGTCAATTTTAGTAACCAATCCAGTTTGAAATGAGTAACTTTTGGAAAAATATTCTAATGGATTTCTGACAGACCGACTACTATTGCAAAAGCCAAACTTGGCATACTGTTTGTTGGACCCAATTGCCTCTTCCAATCATCACCCTACTTGATCTCATAGACCAGCTGACACTCCTATTTCTTCTCTCTTTTAAAGTTGCTCCCTACTTTGTTTCTGTATTGCCATTCCTAGTTTTCCTTCTTTTCTTTATGCACTTGTACTTATTATTTTTTAATTTAACGCGGTGACTTTAGTTAATAGAAATATGTAGGGGTCAGGTGTACAGTTCTATAATACATCATCTGTATATTATGTGTTCACCTATCTCTCTGAATGTTCCCACTGAGCTTTTGCTATTAATTTCTTTCTCGTTTTTTACTCCATAATTGTAGGTATGCCTCAAAATTGTGCCATATTATTTGGCCTTCTTTCTCTTACACTCACTTCTTAAAAGCCAGACCAAAACAAAACAAGAGCAACAAAACAAATTCTCATCTGTTCATGAGATTCAAGGAGCTATTGTTTCAACACAGCTCCCCTAATAAGTCTCTTCTGAATAGTATTCTGAATTTCTGGCTAGCTACAATTTATACAACCACCACACAGCAATTAATTATTAAATTCATTACATTCCTCTTAAATCTGATTTTCCTCTATTTATGTATGCATGGGTAGTCTCCTTGTCATGCAGGCTCCAAAACTCAGGGCTGTCTTTAATTCCTCCTTACTACTGTTAACAAAAGTTCCAAAAAATTTAAATGAGTATTTTATTCATAGATTATTTGCAAATCAGGCACATAGCCTTCAGTATAAACTAAAGACATGTTTCAAAGTGGGCGGATAGAACAAGGTTTTTAAAGGTAAAAGTGCAAGGAGCTGATGATCAAAGAGATGGGTTGCTAGCAGAAACAAGACTTAGATAATTTGTTGTCTGATGGTAGGTACAACTGGAAAATTCAGTGGTTGGCTATGACCCAGTGGTCAGCAAGTGGGACTGTGATTCAAGAACAATGGGTAACATGATCAGGCATTTGTCAGCATCCTAGTTCTGGTTTGGGCTTGTAAAACAAAAATTTTGTGGTTACTTATCAACAGAAACCAAAAAGCACAGAGAGACTGACTGTTCATTCTGTAGGCAGTTTCCAAGTCCAAGGAGTCATGCTTTGAGAGCAGCCTCAGAATTCAAACTACAAAAATGTAAATGTTGGGCCACAAATTATGATATTAAAGTTCTCAAAAGTTCTCACTACTCACATCTGATGTGCCACCATGTTCTATTGAATCTGACTGCTAAAGTGTCCTCAAAGAAGATTTTATAAAGTTACAATTCATAGTCCTCACCATAGAGTATGCAAACTTTTTCTGCAGCAGTGTCAACATTGTGTATTAAAAATGTTTTAATCTGTAGAGGGTACATTACTACCAACCTTAAGGAAATAAAGTAACTATAAGGGAATGCTGTGAACAATTGTATGCTGAAAGTGAGATAACATAGATGAAGTGGCCAAATTTCTGGAAAGATGCAAACTGTCAAAACTGACTCTAGAAGAAATAGAAAATTGGAATACACCAATAACAAGTGAAGAGACTTAGTTAGTAATTTTAAAACTTCTCAAAAGAAAAGTTTAGACCCAGATGGCTTCACTGATGAATTTTATCAAACATTTGTAGGATAATTGTTAATTCTTTATAAATTCCTCCTATTTATATCAGAGGAAGGAAATTTTCTCCATTTAATCTATGAGGTTAGTATTAGCTGGATACCAGCACCAGACAAGTATATCACAAGAAAAAAACAATGGGCCAGCAGAGTGGCTCAGTGGTTGAGTGTTGACTTATGAACCAGGAGGTCACGGTGTGATTCCTGGTCAGGGCACATGCCTGGGTTGCGGGCTTGATCCCTAGTATGGGGCATGCAGGAGGCAGCCAATCAATGATTCTCTCTCATCATTGATGTTTCTACCTCTCTCTCCCTCTCCCTTCCTTTCTGAAATCAATAAGACTATATTTAAAAAAACAAACAAACAATGGATCAATATCTTTTGTGATTATAAATGCAGAAAGCCTTAAAAAAAATACTAGCAAACCAAATCTGACACTATTTGTAAAGGATTACACATTACAAGCAAGTGGGATTTATTCCATGAATTCAAGGTGGGTTTAACATTAGAAAATCAATTAATGTTATGCACCATATTAATAGAATAAAGGACAAAGACTATAGAATCATCTCAGTAGAAATAGGGAAAAGTTTAACAAAATCCAATACCTTTTCATGACAAAAACACTCTGCAAACTTTATCCTCCTGATAAAGTACAGGAGGGAAACAAAAAAAGGAGAAGGGGATTAAGAGTACAAATTTCCAGTTATAAAATAAGTCATGGGGATATAATGTACAGCATAGGGAATAGAGTCAGTAATCTAATATAATAATAGAGGAATATGCAAATTAGCCAGGACGTTGTAATGTCACGACCAATCTACAAGCGGCGCAGAGCTACAGGAGGGCTGGGCAGTGAGCTATGAGTGGCGGAGAGCTACCAGCGGTGGTGGGCGGGGTGGCCAGCTGAGGCAAGCGGCAGCGAACTACTGGTGCACGGATTTGTGTGCAGGGCTACCAGTCCTATATAATAAAGAGCTAATATGCTAATGGTCATGACACCCTCATGCTGTAACCAATGTTCAGCAGGAGGCTGCATGTGTGTGCACGGTGGGGGCGGAGCCGCCGCGTTGCTCTGGAGATGGGGCGGAAGCAGGGAGACACCTGGAGGAGGTGGGACTATCCCGTGGCGGGGAGTGCAGGGGTGAGAGCCCATAGCGCCCCCCTCACCAGTCCTTCGCCACCCACCGCTCATACTCAGTGATCCTTCCACTCACCTGCCAGGGGAAGGAGCGCAGCGCACCCACCGCCAGGAAGCGGCGCTCAAAACTCTGCAGCAGGCGGGAGGCTTCCACGCTCTCCTCAGGCGCCATGACGGGGTGGAGCCGCCACATTGTTCCAAAGATGGAGCGGAAGTGGGGAGGCACCTGGAGGAGGTGGGAATAGCCCGAGGTGACTCATGGGACCGAGGGCGGGGCTTGAAGCAGCAGAGAAAGCCAGCCGGAGGGATTGGGGGCAGGGCCAGGCATGCTCAAGCTCTGGGTGGAGAGGTTAGGGTGTCAAGGCCAGGCAGTCGGTGCATGGGTAGGCAGGGCCTCGCAATTTCACGCACCAGGTCACTAGTACTGTAATGATTATGTTTGATGATAGATGGTTACCTGACTTACTGTGGTCATGACTTTGTAGGATATATAAATGTTGAATCACTATGTTGAACACCTGAAACTAATACAGGGGTTAGCAGAAGTAGGTTTACAGTCATGATACAAATAAATAATACCATGATTAATAATAATACAAGAATAAACTGTTTCACATACAACTGTAAGCCTATTGCACACCCCTATATACTACTATATGTCAATTATAATTTTAAACAAATGAACTTAAAAACCCGGTACTAAGCCCTGGCTGGTTTGGTTCAGTGGATGGAGTGTCGGCCTACAGACTGAAGGGTCACGGGTTCAATTCTGATCGGGGGCGCATGCCCAGTGCGTGGGTTCGATCTATAGTAGGGGGCATGCAAGAGGCATCTGACCAATGACTCCCTCTCATCATTGATGTTTCTATCTTTTTCTCTCCCTCTCCATTCCTCTCTGAAATAAATAAAAACATTTTTAAAAAACGGTACTAACCTCATAATTAACAGTGAAAGACTTTTGTATTCCCCCTAAGATCAAGAACTCCTGCTAGTGGAGATTCTAGCCTGGATCAATAAGGCAAGAAAAGGAAATAAAGAGCTTCCATATTGGAAAGAAAGAAGTACAACTGTCTGCACATTACATGATCTTATATAGAGAATATACTAAGGAATCCAGTGAAAAACTATGAGAACTAATAAATGAGTAATAAATGAGTTCAACAGGTTGCAAAATATAAGATCAATATACAAAAATCAGTTGTATTTCTATATACCAGCAATTAAAAATCCAAATATGAAATTAAGAAAACAATTCCATTTATAATGGCATAAAAAGAGTAAAATACTTAGAAATATTTAAATAAAGAAGTGTATGATTTGTAAACTGAACACTACAAAACATTGCTGAAAGAAAGTAAAGAAGACCTAAATAAATGCAAAGACATAGAATATTAATGAATCAGAAGACATATTGTTTCATCACAAGACCCTCAAAATGATCTAGAGATTTAACACAACCTTTCCAAAAGCCCAGCTGAATTCTTTGTAGAAATTAATAACCTTATCCTAATATGCATATGAAAAGAGAAAAGACCAAAAATAGCTAAAACAAACTGAAAAAGAACTAAGTGAAGAACTCACACTTCCTGATTTCAATACTTACTGCAAACTATAATAATAAAAGCAATGTGGTGCAGGCATAAGGATAGACATATAGATCAATGTATTGAATTTAGAGTCTAGAAATATACCCTTACATTTATAGTCAATTGGTATTTGACAAGGGTGGTAAAACAATCCAGTCAATAAAGAATTATCTTTCCAACAAATGGTCCTGAAGCAACTGGGTCAGGACATGTATAAAAATAAAATTTTGACCCACAATGCGCAGCAACGAGCTCAGGAAACCAATGTACTATCTAGCTATAGACAGCCACCCAGCTATCTGTAGGTCAGACTTATAGAAAGTTAGAGTGCTAGCTTTAGTTACTAGTATAGGAATCCAAGCAATAATCCCTAAAATGATCAACCCAAAATGTCCAGGACTTGATTAATACCTAACATCTTTCCTAATTTTGTCCCCAATTCCAGCGTAGGCCAAAATACGCATCCTTAACTAGACACATAGGGTGCCCATTTCTGGTTAGTCCACAAAAAGCCAACATGCCAACATCCAAACAGCCTCTAATCAGGGTGTACTGAGCCTTCCCATTTTTCTACTGTAAAGCTCTCCCACTCTTCTGCCTGCCTTTGAGTCTCCACTAAATGCAAGTAATAGTGGCTGACTCCCTTGCTATACTGAGCTCTGAATAAACAGACTTTGCTTGTTCTCATTTGGTTGGTTTTCATTTACTTCCACAAATGTTGCTATTCTGTGTGTATATGTCTGTGTTTTCCATTGCATTCTGAGCTTGAAGACTAGGCTCTTGATTTATTCTTGGTTATGTCTCCCTGAACATAACCTAGTGTGTTTTACATTAGTAAGGAGCCAGAATATTTGTGGAATACAAACTTTTATGAGAATTTGATTGGCTTATGTTTCTTTGTGCTATATAAAAATGTCTCCCTCTATAGTAGTTATTTGGAGTTTTATGTTGAAGAGATATTGCCCCTGTTGTATGGTAGCTTAAATGATAATGAATGATAATGATATAATAGACTAGTAATAATTGTACTAATCATATGTCAGGAATTATTTTAGTTGTTTAAAATATGTTAACTCTCAACACAGCCCTATGAATTGGACATCATGATGATTCCTGTTTCACATATGAGGGAACTAAGGGCAAAAAGCTAAGTTGCCTAAAGCCACAGAAACTAGAAAGTAGTAAGTTGCCTAAAGCTACAGAAACTAGAAAGTAGTGGAGCCAACATTTAAACTCAAGGGCTCTAGGCTTAGACTCTGTCCTCTTAATTGCTAAACTATAATGCCTCTCAATTTTAAAGGAGATTTAATATTGTCCACTTTGGTTCTGGGATCTAGGCATCAAGTGAAGAAAATAGGTTCCTACTTTTGTGGAACATAGGCATTTAAGAAATTGCATATTTGGGGAGGGGAAGTAAGGGCAGTGAGGGATTTGAGGAGACATGAGTGCATGTTGGAAGGTGAATTTTGTGGTGGGAGGTTATTTCCCCCAGAGACTTAGCAAAGGTCTGACTGGAGATGAGGATTGTGGAGGGAATGGAAAGGTAGAAAAGTCTTTAGAGAAAGAGACAGAGTCTAAATCCTAGAGTTTCTTGTGAACTATAAGCAAGAGTTTGGATTGTATCCAAGTTTTATAAAAAAGAGGCATTGAAGAATTCTAACTCTGGTGGGGGAGGGTGAATTGAAATGATCAGAATTAAGTATGCACGTCTTCTCTTCCTTTTGGATTCAGTTTTCTTTTCTTTACAGAACAGAATTAACAACAAATAGGAGTTTTTCAGAGGACACAGGGGAAGGCCTGGGTTTGGCTGTAGGTGGGGGTAGGGAGCCTAACATATCTGATCTCATTTAGTCTCACAACCCCTCAGGGAGGTTGCATTAGATAAGAAGCCAACCCAAATAGGTAAGAAGGGGTGAAATGGGATAGAAACTCAAGGCTGCCTGACTTACACAGCATCACACAGAGTTGCTTCCATTTCTCATGCCAATTTTGAATAAATCACTCTAACCACTTCCAATCCCTGTTACCTTAAATGTAAAATAAGGCAATATTAGTCCTCAACATTTAGGATTCTGTAATTCTAATTACAGAAACAATTCAAGTTTGGTAAAATGCTTAACTTCCTCAGACAATATTAACATTCTCTGCATATAGTGGCCTGAAGTCCTATCATTCCTAAAAGTGACCCTGGGAGAGGGTTATTGCTTTCCAAACACAATAAAGGGGCCATGAAACAAAAGTGTTTGAAATTCTACCAATGTAAACAGAGTGCTTCTTTTCTATTAATGCATTAAAACAATTCTATGAAAAGTAGAAAATTCCCAACTGTAAAATCTCCTTCTGCATTCCAAGGAATCTGTATCTCCCAAGTCAGAGTCTAGATTTCAAAGATGAGAGGAACGAAGAGGAAAAAATTCTCTCTGCTTTGGTCTGGTCTCAAGAATGTCAACACTGGTGGCCTGTGCAGCTCTGTCTCTGCTGAAGTCATCTCTAAACAACAGCCTCTTAGATTGAGCTAGCATAAGGTATGGAAGGTCCTAGGGGCAAGGAAGAATGGCATAGCAGGACTCCGAGTATGTTTTTCTACATCACAAAAAGGCCAACATGAGGGCAGACATTGGGTGAAACACAAATTCCTAAGTATGCTCTTTAAAAAGCATATATTTCCCAGTATAAAGTTACTATTTTATAAAATTAGTTATGTTCACTAAAGGAAATCCAGAAAGTACACACACACACACACACACACACACACAAAAGGTTAAAAAAATATTCCAGGTACCACACTGGTTCTATTTTCATTGGTGTTTTTTTCTGTCTTTAGGATAACTACATTTTGGTTTGACTTTTTACATAGCTTCAACAATACAATATAAACAATTTATTCCTGCTGAAATTTACTTCTAATTTAAATTTTATTAACAATGAGATGCCTTATTGAAAATAATTATTTTAATATCCTGAAAAATGATTCCATGGAACTGTCCACAAGGAAACATAAAATAACCAATAATGTCCAGCATATCCTAGACAAAAATCATAAGTTCTCCTAAAATGAAATATCACCATATAAGTAGTATGCTTCTTTATGCCAAACAAACATAGATATTCAATATTAGTGTTAAAAAAATGGCAAATTACTCTAGCTATGGTAATTAGAAGAATAGGAAATGGAGTATAGAAAAAGTTAAAAGTTTTATCAAGATAAAAACAGAATATAGATAGATGTTTTTGCAAGTAAGAGAGACACTGAAAGGTAGTGCCTATCCATGGAGGAGATTGGGAGGTGACGTCTCTCTCTCCCAAAAATTTCTGACTATGACAGGAAAAAAAATAGCTAACTAGGAGAGATATATTTATATTATGAAGATGAAATAAAAGTAAGAAAGATAGTGACTTTTTCCAAAATGTAGAAGCATTAAAGAATAAATATCTAATGGTGTCTTCCCCCACCAATAAAATAGCAGACTTTTCCCCCCAAAATTGAATATCTCAAGAACAAAACAATCCAGAAGAGAATATATATCCTAAAATGTGTTAACATAACATTAAGTGGATATTTAGAATGCATTTTGGCCCATTTAAGTGAGATGATTACATAGA